CAACACTGGCAGGGCATGCCACAGTATATAAACGGAGAGCGAACCCCATTCCATTCTAGCAGCGAAGATGTTACCTAGCCAGGTAATGAAACGTTTGCAAGAAAACAACCAAGCTCAGAGAACCCCAAGGACTCCACAGTTCAACCCTGAGCTACACATATTCACTTCTATTGGTAAAGTACATTGTGGGTATATGTGCCTTCAAGTTATTGTTGATTTCTGGTGACTGCCTGGACTAGTCCCTGCAGTTTTCTTGGCAAGACTTGAGAAGTGGTTTGCCGTTGCCTGCTTCCTAGGGTGGAGAGAGAGTGACTGGCCCAAGGTCACCCAGCTGGCTTTGTGCCTAAAGCAGGACTAGAACTCACAGTATCCCAGTTTCTAGCCTGGTGCCTTCACCACTACACCAAACTGGCTCTTGAAAAAGCACATTGCAGTAGTCCAAACATGGTGATCACAGCATGAGTCCCTGTTGCAAGGGCTTTCTGGTCCAGTAAAACTATAACTGCTGTAGTAGCTGAAGCTGGGCAAAGGTTCTACTTGCTGTTATGGCAGGAACCACAAATCCAGGAGGAGCCCCAGATCATGGTTCACCTCTTTTGGGGAAACACAACCCCATCAGGTGAATCAACCATGATTAATATTCCTAGATGCGTATTAATGAACACCTATTCTGTCTTGATAAGGTTTAATTTGTCCTTGTTTCTCCCCATCCAGTCCCATCCAGTCTCCAAACTGGATTTCCACAGCATCTGAGAGGTCTAATAGGACTATGACAGCTACAATCTCCCTTCCAGATGCACTCTCCCCTTCCAACTCCCAAAGGTCATACTTTAGAGCAACCAAGTCTGTTTCTGCCCCTTGTCTGGGCCTGGACCCTGGTTGAAAGGGATCTAGATAATCCATTTCCTCTAGGATCCCATGTAACTGATCCCTCCCTCCTTTTCGACAACCTTCTGCACAATGGGAAGGTTGTAGACAGTGCAAAAGTCATCATATATAGTCAGATCAAAAGAGAACTGCTTCAGGAGAGAGCAAACCACCATCTCTTTCAAAGGCAATGGCATAACTGCAGGGACTAGTCCATGCAATCACCAGGAGTCAGAAATTGACTCAAAGGCAAGGAAGCATTGACTACCCCCTATATCCAGCCACTGAGGCCTACCTGGCTGCTCACAAGAGCCAGGAGGGACATGGATCTAGCTGAGAGATGGCAGAACTCATGCTACAGAGAACCCAATTCATTTCCTTGGGTTCCACAAGCTCAAAGGTATCCCAGATCGTAACACAAAATGCTGCCCTCCCTTGACCTTGTCCAGATGGCACCCAAGCCAGGACAAAAACAAGCAATTTTATCTGCAAGAAAACCTCCAAACTCATGTGTGCCATCTGCAGGTGCCCTGTTAAAACTGTCTTTTTCTATAAAGGACTAGGTCACCCTGAATGGGCTATCAGTCATAAAACTGCAGATACACTAAGCACGAAGAAGTATTAATGAGTTGCTGCTCTTACTGCCATTTAGTAAACTCAAGCGTGGGTTCATAAGCACTCTGTCATCTCCATGTTTAGTTTGATGCTCTTTATGTTCTAGGTGTCTTCAGTTGCTTCATCCCTGCAGGAACCTAGAAAACCAAGGAGCTGCTTGGACTCAGCAACTGGAGAGAGACTAGGGAAGGGCAATCTCATCATCCTGCCTAGCAGAAGTCCAGAAGTCTAAAATAATCCCCATTTTAACCAGAAAGTGATCTGACCACTGTACTTAGGACTGAATTTGGGGTCCTTGCATAGAACCTAGTTTTTGTGGTTGCAGTGGTCCAACCTGATATGGGCTATGAACTTCTCAAGAGGAGGCATCTCAGTTTCTATTGAGCAATGACTGCAAGCTGCTATCATGCTCTTTAGAATACTTTTGAATAAATAAAGAACAGGTTACTAAATCAAGTTGAAATAGATTAAAGCAATGAAGACAGGAAAAAAAAGACTGAGTCCTGCTGATTGCAAAAAATAGGTGAGATAACAAGCCACTCCTTAGACTCTGTGACATATACAGGTGAGACATCTGAAGATCAAGTGCTGTTTCACACAAAATATTCCCTGCACAAAAAAGGGTGGGAAGCAAATCCATGGGATAGAACTCCCAATAATTGTCAGGCATAACACATTTCAGTGTTGTAGTTCTGCTATTTCTACTGCTGGGACCCTATTGGGGGAAGGTGCCTCAAGGATCACTAGTGAGAAAGGGCTCAGAGCGTCAGAAGAAGGAGATGACAAATGTGGAGAAGAGCAGGTGCCACAGGAAAATGTCAACTTGTTGTAAGGAGCCTTAAGGAAGGAAAGAGGTGCCCACAGCCAAGCAATACTGATATCTAGATACCAAATAAATCATGTTACGAAGAAAAGTCTTCTCCCCAAAAATGATAGGCAACAAAGCAGCTGAGCAGAAAAGTTTGAATAAAAAACTATTGTCAGAATGATGCAACAGCTTTCCTGTTTGCCTTCAGGTGACAGTTCTTGAAGCCAGTGAACGTGTGGGAGGACGAGTGAACACTTATCGCAATGAGGCAGAAGGCTGGTATGCCAATCTGGGGCCCATGCGTTTGCCTGGGAGACACAGGTGAGATGTGAGATAATGTCAGTGTCTGCTTCCCTTTTCTCCTTGCATACAAAAAAGACTGGAGGGTTATGGAGGTATGTCCTGTAACAACACTGCTTGGTGTGCCAGGATGGCACAAGAGTAGATATTTTGGACTCTGGGAAGGCCAGCCAACACTAAATTCCACATATTTGTAAGTGTGGATTGGTAGCCATTTAAAACTTGGCAACAGAGCCTGCCACAATTTATGTTGAGTGAACAGGACGAACATGACAAGGAATGGAATGGAGTATGGAGCATTCATTGGGCTGGTTAAGCTAATTTCCTTTAGAATTAAGAGGACAAGTTAGGTGGAAACATCTAGCTGGCTTTGAAAAAGCCAAGCAGGCCCAGCCTGGTCCTGCTTAGTTCTTGGATGGGAAACTGCTAGGAAATCCCAAGACTATAGGCTCCAGTGGGAAGTTGAAAAACATCCTAGAAGCCAGGACAAATCACTGGGAAAGAAATAAAGCAAGTTTAATTTGGATAGAAATAATTCCGTTTTATCCTATCTTTCTTCCAGTGATCTCTCCCTTTTGTCCCACAACAGCCCTGTGAGAAAAATAAGCCTGAATGATTTTAATGAGACAATGGCTGAGAAGGGTTTATCAAGCAATTTTGCAAGAGTTGTTGCTGATTTTGCTCGTTTTTCCCCTATTCTCAATTGCTAGCCCTCCCTTTTCTTACAGAGGGAAAAACCTGTGTTTTTCCTTCTGTATGCAAAGCAAGATGAGAGAGAGAGAGTGATACTGCAGAAATGATTACAGAATAATTACAGTATTTCACCTTCACATTTGCACCGTAATTCTCTTGATAATCAGATACAATTTTTCAGGGCTGTCTTTTGCTCAGGACTTTGCATCACTCTAATTTTTCTTCTTTCATTATTTTCTCCTTTCCCTTCCCCAGGATTATCCGAGAATATGTCCGAAAGTTTGGTCTGACGCTAAACCAATTCCTTGTAGAACAGGATAATACCTGGTATTTTATGAAAAACATCAGGAAGAGAGTCTGGGAGGTCAAGAAAAACCCCGGCCTCTTGAAATATCCTGTGAAGCCCTCAGAAGAAGGCAAAACTGCTGCACAGCTATATAAAGAGGCTCTCGGAAAGGTTTGGATAAGTCCTAAAATTATTTTTAATCAGTTATGCTATGGCTTGTTTCAAACAGTGAATCACATAGGTGGAAGACCCCAAAAGCCCATTGAACCCCAGCATTCTCCAAAACTAGTTTCTCTATCATCCAGGGCTGTCCGCAGAGTATGGTCAAAAAAGTTAAAATGGAGGCCTCAGTGGGGTGATTGAAGTTCTGCCTTTTTTTTTAACGTGCTGGGAGGGCGTAGGAGGAGAACCCATCTTGAGAAAATGATAGCTGTTGGGTTCTTGGCTATTTTCCTGCAGGTGTTTTGTTACCAGCTTGGGTAGCCTGATCACCACACCGGAGAGTGGAGTTTGCTGACTGGTGAGAGACGGTAGTTTGTCCTGCCAGTCTTGGTTGGGGTGTGGTTTCTTCCTTGTTAGTTCCTTGATTAGGTTATTGTTTCTTCTTTAATACAAGTTTATCTGGTGCTGTTTCTACTTCTCTGGGCGTTAATTGTGGGAAGGGAGTGTTCTGGGCTGTTTGTTTCCCAGAACAAAAGATCAAAAGAGATAAGCAAAAGTCAAGGAAGGAACAACTCAACTGCATGACTTTGGGCCAGTCCCTCTCTCTCAGCCCAACCCACCTCACAGGGTTGTTGTGGGGAAAATAGGAGGGAGTGTTAGGTACACTGCCTTGAGTTGTACAAAATAAAGGTACAATATAAATATAACAATAAACAAAAACTAATAATAATTATTATTATAATAGATTGGCTCCAATTCAAAAATAGTTCACTTGCTAGAATGCTGGTATCAGTACTACTTCCTTTTTAATAAATCTTGCTCTGGATTGCTCTGAGAGATCCATGCTTAGGAATAAACAGTTTTATTTCAGAGCAATCCTGCAGACAGCTTTCGAATGTGGGACTAATCAAAATGGCATTCAGCAGCTAAGCCCTCAGCACTCTGGATTTCTGACATTATCCCTGGTGCCTCTCCTTACAGACGTTGTGGGAAGAGAGCCATGTTAGTCTATGGTAGCCCAAATCCAGGTAGCATCTTTTCAGACTAACCAACTTTATTAAAGGGCATAAGCTTTCATGAGGTACAGCTCACGTCATGAGATGCATGGAGTGTCTCACGTTTCACTTGCTTCTGCATAACCATCCAGTCTTCACCTCCCTTTCCTCCCATCCCAGTTTAAATCCTACCTCAGTCTCACCACTCCATGCATCTGATGAAGTGAGCTGTACCTCAAAAAAGCTTATGCCTTTTAATAAAATTTGTTAGTCTGAAAAGGTGGTATCAAACTCCTCCTGATTGTTAACATTATCCCTGGGTGTCTCTTGAAAACACAACCCCACCTACCAGTTGAAGGATTTTAGCATCCTAAATACACCCTGAGCGATGTTTAATTGCCCTTGTGAGCAATTAAAAGGCAACTCCTAGACTCACCTCCCTGTCCTGATCAGAATATTCCTGCAACTGCTGACCATGCCAACCTCCAAGACTCACAGATGGGGGTTGACAACAGCACCAGTCAATGCCCATACAATCTGCTATTTGTACCCTCAGCAGACTAAAAGATGATCTAATGTGGATAGGAGTTGTTGAATCACACATCGATGGGTTTTGCATAACATGCTCAACCCACTTGCTGAATTAACCCATTTTCTGAATGTGTTTGATACATTGAAAACCAATGTATCTTAATGTTCCATGCATTAACATTATCTTAATGTTTTCCATGTACATTTACACAAACATGGAAAAAACAAACCATGGTTTGAGAAGTATGCAGTGGCTTACCCACTGCCAGTGTATGTGAACAACACTTCCTTTAATGAATGGCCATTGTCAAAATAGACTTGTGTCACTGTGCTTCTCATTTCTCTTTGATTTCTTAAAGAGAGAGTAGGAAAGATTCCCTTGCTATTATAGCCCCTTTCAGGCATGATTCAGACCAGAATGCCTACCTTGTGAACATCCTAGTTAAACTCCAATTTCTGTGGTCAGTCAAATTGCTTAGGAAGGGCAGGGCGTAACCCAAATGGCAATACTATGAGAGCTGTGGTTTTCATAATAGCAGAGCAAGGATAATGCGCATGTAGGTGGACACTCATATACACATACACATGGCCCTAGAGCTCTAAGACTATAGTCATGATTAATTCAGTAGTCTTTAAGATGTATCTGTGATTATTGGCTGAAAGGACACCGCAGATGATTCAGTGAGTCTCCCTCACTTTCTGCTTCAGTGCGTGAAACTTGCCAACCAAATGTCTCATTTGGAAGAAGAGATTACACACGTAGCCTAAAGGGAAAGGGAGAGAACCAGCTTGTTGTAGTGGTTAAGATGTGAATTTGAAGCTGGGAGACTGTGAGTTCTAGTCCACCCTGAGGCAGAGAAGCTGCTGGTCACTTTGGGCAGACCCTGTCTGCGACGATACTTTTAACACCATCAAACAACATCTGCCTATCTCAGGTCCTTGGGAAGGACTCAATAGGTGGATAAAAATGCCAAATCCAGTCTAAACATCTGTCTGACTGTGCAATCAACCATAATAATAATACAGGTAGTCCTCACTTAACAACCGCAATTGGGACTGGCAACTCTGTTGCTAAGCAACACGGTCATTAAGTGAAATATGTGTCGGCGTTGACAAGTTCCGCTGCAGTTGTTAAGCCTCTGTCTGAAGGAGAGCTCAACTTTTTCATGTTCATTTCAAGCCTGTTCCACTGGCTAACAGGTTGTCTATTTGAAGACTCCTATTGTTTCTCCTATTGATTATTTTTACTGTAGGCTAAACATACTCAGATCTTTTAAGTCTGGTCTTCCTGAGGCTGGGTTCCAGATCCTTCAGCCCGATAGCCCTTCTCTGAATTTGTCACTGCCCCTTTTGAACTATGGTTCCCAGAGCTAGACACAGTAATCCAAATGGAGTCTGACCAACCATTTCCCATCACTGGGGCTCTCTGCTTCTGTTGATGCACCGCAAGATAGCTTTTGCCTTTATCACTGCTGCATCGTACCATTTGCTCATGTTTAATTTGTGTTTGAGAAGGATATCTAGGTCCTTTTCACATGGTCTCCCTTTCCCTCAATTATACCTTACATTTTTCATAGTTTCTCCCAGCTAAATTCCATCCTATTAATTTGAGCCCACTGCTCAAGTCGCTTTAGATGTTTTTGAATCTTCTCTTTCATCTAAAGTATGAGCCACCAGTTTTGTGCCATCTACAGATGTTATAAGTTTTCCCTCAACTCTCTCATCCAAGTCATTGATAAAAATGTTGAACGGAACAGGGCCCGGGACAGAGCGGTATAGCACTCCATTTGATGCTTCACTTCAAGCTGATGTGGAGCCATTAATAAGCTCTCTTTGGGTGCATTCACTCAGCCAACTGTGAGTCCATCTAACAATAATATCATCTATACCATATGATATGATTTAGTCAAGGAAAATATCACATTAAACTTTGTCAAATATTTCTTAAGCTTCTCTTTTGAGCTATGAACATCTGGTCTGAACATCATATTGTTTCTTAACACCATATTTTTCACAAACATGCGGAACAGGCACTCTTGATTCTGATTTTTCAACCAAGACTAACTTTTGCTGGATGTTCAGATTAACTCTTTTATCATCACCCTGTTGAAGCCATAATGCTTACAAAATATTTTTTTTTATTTATTTATTTATTTATTTATTTATTTATTTATTTATTTATTTATTTATTT